ATATCTCTGGCTTTAGGATTTTACAAGTGCAAGTTTAAAGATAAGTTGGACAGCAGGGGTGTCGCAATGTACCGGATTGACAATAAAAATACAATACAGTTAAATGATGTATAATAAACACATGATAACATGCTATGAAAAATCCAGCACCATTTAATAGTTTTCTCTCATTTATGCTTTGTCTCTCTCCCAGACCTCCACATGAACAAAAGAGTGTAATAGATATGCTAAAAAATGACAAAATGGGTTTCACTTATTAGAAAGCTTCAATAAATGTCATTAGATATTGTTAACCGAATTGTTTTGGTCACGATAATAGTGTTGTGAAAACATGATATTGGTGTAGCCCTAATAGTGCACAATGTGTTTGTGTCAGTGTTTTGAGTTATAGGCAAGTAGAATAGTTTAAACATGGACATTTTTATAAGTTTTCAAAGTAAACAGAAGACTATGGCTGAAAAGTGGATCTGTGAGGTTAGTATTTTATGATTGACACCTCGACTACCTTCTCTCACTATGGGTCATTATCATAATTTCAAAATAATGAAACAGAAACTAGGCTTGTTAGCACTTAATTATTCATTTGAATACATAAAGGCAATCAATTAAGCTTAAGTGTGCAATACATCTGATTAACCAGTCAGTTCCCAAAACACCTTATACCCTGGTAATGAGTTTGCAAGTATGGGGGGGGGGGGGCTAATAAGTGAGGGTGCTCACCCACAAACACAAACATATGCCCACACACACACCCCAGGTTTACAAACCACTATTGTGTTTGATGCTCTTTTTTCTCGGGTGATAATTTAATGTATTAGCATTCGGGGATGAAAGATAAGCAGGGCTTAATGTATGCTAATATTAAGGTCTGTTGTGTGTATCAAAATAAAGCAAGGTCATCAGGAAAAGGCATACTTGTAATTAATAGATGAATTCATTACAAAAACAATGACTCAGTTGAAAAACACTCATTAACAAGATAAGGCGTTAGAAACTAAAATAGAAACGTTAATGTGTTGACAATGAGAGTGACTATATTCAACCTTGAGATGCTGCTAATGCAGTGTGTGTGTTTGATTGGGCAAATCTGCCGGCCTCCTTTCCGCCACCGCTGTATCATTCCTCATTATTCTCTGACACACTCGCTCGCTGCCTCTCTGCCTTCCTCCCTCTATTTCAGCCTTCTTCTATCCCTCTCTCTCTCCATCCCTCCCTCTCTCGCTGGCCTTTACCTGCTTGCTCGCCTCAGGGGAAATTACCACAGCTCAGAAACGCTGTCCAACTGCACTGCAACGCTCCGCTCTGCCCTGCCTCCCTCCACCCATACAGCACACACATATGGACACACACAAACATACAGACATATACTGTGGACATGCACTCACACACACGAGCATTCATGCACACAGAAAACACCCTCACATACACACAAAGACTACACATTAAGCCCTTCCCCACCCCTAGCATTGCCCCTTCACCAGACGCTGCTAAGACTGATTCTTCTTACTATTGTCCTCCCCCCATAATATATATACAGAGGCACAGCAGTATTAGAAGCATTTCGCTGCCAAGGTCTGCAGTGTATTTGTATGCTATAGTGTGTGTATGTGAATCGACTGCATTCGTTGTTATATTAATACATGTATGAATGTGTGTTTGAGTGCAGGGGAGAATGAGAGTGCATATATTTCCCTACTTAATGAATTATATGTGTTGGACCTCTTCTGTTCAGGGTAATTCACTCTTTAGTCTTAATGAAAGTTAATGAAAAGGATCCCTCCTCCTCTTCTTATGGACTGCCATGCCTTCAGCAATACTTGCAGTCTGTCTTATCTCTCAATGCAATACTGCAGACCTTGAGATGAGCAATGAGCAACTCAGCAGGGTTTTACCGCTTTCACTATTATTTAATGGAAAGACACTTCAATCACAATGCTAATCAGAGGGAGAAAAACTCAATGAACGTTTCAGCTCAATCGCACAGTGGCTTATTGCACATGTTTTGCCTTGAAGTTGCGGGCACAGGAGACTCGCTGTGCAACACTTTTATGTGCAGTTAGGAGATGGTTTTATTTTGCTCCTTCTTCTGTCAGAATTATCATCATGACGGTCCTTTAGCATATGTCAAGTCATGCCTTTGGAAATGTCACTTTGAGGGAAGCAGCAGTAGCTCCCTGTCTGCATTTTGATAACTCAAAGTCCAGACTGTGGAGGAGGATTCATAATCAATACCAAAAATACTGACACCCCCAGCTCATCAGTCATTCTGCATCACACAGTAAACTATGAATGTCTTCTTCTAGAATGCAGTGTCTGGGGAATAAGGAATTCAAACAACGAGATCTGCTTTTGGATTCAGTGCTTTCATGAAATGTTTGGCTACTCCTCAGATCACGTTTGGTTTATTCAGATTAAATGTTAAGCATTTGGAAAGTGGCTTTGTATTTAAGAGTAAGATACAAAATGTATTGTGAGTACAGAAAAATGTACTGATGATTGATGATCGTATAAATTCAAATGGTTGGTCATAAACTATCAAACATGTTTTGACTTTTAAAGCAAAAAATATAGCCTGTTGCGATTATTTTTTATGTAATTTGTCTGGCGATGTGTATGCCTTTTATGAATGTGTGTGTTTATGAATGTTTCTGGATGAAGTTACTTTGTCTCATGGGAAACATATTTAAATAATATAAATGTAGCAACATAGGAAATGCATCAAATATGCATATAGCCACGTAGTAGACACGTGTGTGTGTGTTATGTGAGAGTAAAGTGAGTGTGTTCATGGTAGGAATCTGTGGTTGGGCGTATGCACATGCATTCTTGTGTGAACGTGTGCATGTGTGATCCTGGCAGTCTCCGGCAGCAGGCTTGAAATTAAAACCTTATGCGGAACGCGGCTCATGATTGGACTGGAATTAAAACAAAAGGCAGAAGAGCACACTGAAAAAATGGAGAGAGGAGAAGAAGAGAAGTGTTTTGTCTGAGAGGGGAAGGAGTGAGCGATTGCCTCTGCTACAGTCCTACAGTTCGTGTCTGGGCTGTTTCCTATCAGAATGTCAGGCGGACATTTCCCATTGGCTTGCTTCTGTCAGCAGTCTGCTTAAATGTGAAAGCAATTGGGGAAATTGGTGGAGTCAAAGAAACATTTCAGAATAGCTGTGATGAGCTGGAAAGTGGATGTGCAGAAGGAAGAGTGGGCGAATACTAACATAAATATATGCTACACACACACACACACACACACACACACACACACACACACACACACACACACACACACACACACACACACACACACACACACACACACACACACACACACACACACACACACACACACACACTCTCTCTCGGCTTTTCTCTTCTTACCAACATTATCACATACTGAGTAGTTCTAGCCTTTGATGGCTAAGATCATGTCAAACCACTATCTTTTTAAGTCTCGGTTGCCCTTTGTGGTGCGTAGGTTTCCATCTACATGTTTGATAATTAAGTTGAGTCTACATGAAGGAGATTAAGGCTACAGGTAATGTAGTTACTGTAACCTGTAGTTCATTTATAAATCACTGACTTGCACCTACATTAACGAATACATAAATAACAAATGTATAAAATAGTTTAAGTGGAACATAATTTATTTAAGTGCCATGAATAATCTGCAAACATCTAAATACAGTTTAATAGTCTGTGATATGAAGTGAACTACATATCGCTTCAGCTGTTTCTGAAGGCATTCCCCGCTGCTCTCACCTCTCTTAACCCTGAGTATGGAACATCTGCTTTCTCCATTCAGTTGTAGCTCGCTATTTTAATAGCTCTGGGCATCTTGCCTCGAAAAGAAGGGAAAAAAAGTTTGGGCCGGGGCCCCTTGCTTTCATTAGCAGTCTCTCCCAGTGATGTATAGAGCCCAAAGCTTTGCTGAGAGTTCTCACTGGTCAGCCTTCCCCTTTGTGGGCTGCAGCCTTGACCTATTCCCACCTCAACGAGTGTGTGTGTGTGTGTGTGTGTGTGTGTGTGTGTGTGTGTGTGTGTGTGTGTGTGTGTGTGTGTGTGTGTGTGTGTGTGTGTGTGTGTGTGTGTGTGTGTGTGTGTGTGTGTGTGTGTGTGTGTGTGTGTGTGTGTGTGTGTGTGTGTGTGTGTGTGTGTGTGTGTGTGTGTGTGTGTGTGTGTGTGTGTGTGTGTGTGTGTGTGTGTGTGTGTGTGTGTGTGTGTGTGTGTGTGTGTGTGTGTGTGTGTGTGTGTGTGTGTGTGTGTGTGTGTGTGTGTGTGTGTGTGTGTGTGTGTGTGTGTGTGTGTGTGTGAGTGTGTGAGTGAGTGTGAGAGAGAAGTCATTTCCATGAAAAAGGAGTGCAGAGAATGGACAGGGGCCGCATTTTCTTTCTCTGAGACGGCAGCAGACTCGGTTCAGGGGGGCACAAGGGCGACCTCATCCATCATCTTGTGAATAGCCTGGAATTATCGCCCCATGTTTCTGGACATCATGTGATCAAGAGATTCTTGACAAAAGGTCATCTTGGGTTGTGAAACTTGGGGTGGGCCGGCCCTTTAACATTTGAGTGGGATAAAAAAAGCTCATGATGCACATTCCAAATTTCTTGAGACTTTACGACTTTACGATCTATTTCAGTTTTTGTTTTTTTGCACTATTTGGGTCATGGTATCTAATTTCTATGCTTTAAAAAATATAGGCTATTGTAAGATAGCTGTCTCTAGGAGCCAGTGGTGACATACAAAAAAAGGTATATTTACAACACCTTCCTAAAATCTACAACATGTTTTTCTTTTTGGCTGCAAGCTTCAGCAATTACCTTGGCAGTGAGCTGCCCGCCTGTGCATCCTCTGTGGGCGCTTGGGGGTTTTGTCAAACGGGAGGGGGGCGGGCCGCAGGGCGGTGGGCGGAGTTTTCATGCTGCTGTTTTGATTGGTTGGGAGTGACGTACCTACCACTTCCTGGTCTGCTCTCTGGGAGGAGGAAAGCGAGACTGCTGCAGTGTTGTTAGTTTGAACAAAATGGCTGCGAGACCACTGTCAACGAGAGCTCACTGAACGCCTACCATGACTATCCGCTCCGCTGTCTGGATCCAAACAGAATGTATTTCCACGGAGTCGTTTCTCACTTTGCATTTGCGGTAGCCAGCCCGTCGCTAGTCGTCCAGTTGGCGACCTAAACAAACACATTTTTTTGCACTTTAGAACAAGTTGGCTGGCTGACGTCGGCTTGCTCCCTATACGCGAGAACTCATCGGCGATTTTTAACGAAAACTGCCTGCTGATTTCTCTGGTTTTGCAAAACCTCGTAACCATCGACGATTAACAGCGTCAACCAGCTCACGTTAGCTTGCATCCTTCAGCTGCTTTTAAAAGTCATTTGTATTCGTGTTTTTTCTTTTGTTTTTGTTGTTAGTGGTGCTTCGTTTCCCTTCCCCGCCCCTCAATATTGTGTGACGTTTTTAACAAACTGTTTCATCGGCGAGGGTAATTTCACGGCATATTTTTTGCTGAAAACAAACATTACCGTACTTGATTTGCGTATATCTGGCTGAGTAGCCGTTGTTTACCTCGGTATCTTCAGCAGCAGTCGGCTCTCTGCCAAGTCCGACTTTAACTGCGACTGAATCTCTCCTCCATCTCTTTACGGGTAACTTCAGAGAAGACATCGGATAATGCTTTTCTGCATATTTTATTCTGCCATGCACCTTCTCTTCACTGACATCTGCCAAATCTGTGGTTAACTAAAGGTAAGTTCCAAATGAATTGCGTTTTACTCTTGGGAATGAATGTTATTGCTGTTCAGTGTTTGACAATAAAACATGAGTGGTTAGAGGATAGTGGACCGACAATGTCAAATAAAACAGCCAAACTGACCATAATATCACGCCATTATTTTTCACAGCATTAACACATGGCTCTATGGTTTAATATCTCCATTCAGCCCAGTTACAACTGTGCATTAACACTACAGTAGCAATGTCAAGTGCCACTTAATTAAAACACCCATTAACAATGATCTGTGCTTATTTGTGGTGTCACCGTTGAAGGATTTCCTGAAAATATTCATGTTTTAAACCCTCAGAAATTATACAGGGTATTATATGATCTTGAGACAGACATCCAAGCACCCGGAGGATATTTGAAGGGAGTCCCCTGCAAATGCTTTATGTAATGTTGGATTGATAAGAAAACCCTACAGAACGCAGAGAATGTGCTGCTTTTGGATATTCATTATGAAGTAGATGACGATATTTGCTATGTTTATTTGAAGGGGATTGACAGCAAAATCTTGGGAACTTTTGTGATATCATAGCTCTTTCATGATTGGCTGAATAGACAGAACACACTCAGTACATGTGAGCGTCTAATGTGTAGGTTTCTTGAACTGACTGAGAGAATTGCCTCAGCTTTTTCAATGTTGTTGTAGTCATTTGAATATAATGTTGTATTACTAGGCTTTTTTGTGAACACATTTCTATCTATTATTTTCCAGCACATTGAATCTACAGTGTTTTGATACTAGGACATATTCTTACATTATCCCGATTTCTCGTTGTCACTGCTCTTCCTTGTATCTTTCATTCATGGCTATATCACTTTCTGTATCTTGTACACTATTGTACATTCCACTACACTAATTCCAAGTACATTATTAAACATAGCTGTCCTGTCTCTCTTCCCTCCTTCCCTCCACCCCCCTGGCTTGGTTAGAAAGCCGGAGATACTGATTGAACTGTCGCCTTCTATTGCATCCCCCCTTCCTGCATCCTGTCCCCAGGCACTGGAGTATAGCTTTTAATATCTCCTCCGTGTGTCTTAATTGAAGTACATAATTTCCCGTTCAATTTCAAACCCCCATAGTCATTCCCCCCCTTCTGACATCTCTGTCACCACTGTCTTATCTCTATTGTCACACACCAGTGAGGTGATGAAATGAAAGATGTGCGTGAGCAGCAGTGGCACACATGCATGTACATTTGCAGTACGATGGGGAAGACTGTTAGGGCATTTATTCCTGCGTACATCACACACACACACACACACACACACACACACACACTTATGAGTATGTCTCCGAGCCTATGTGTGTATGACTGTGCCATGTCTGGATTGTAAGCATGTTGTTGCAATTGTTGTGTGTTTGAGTCATCCAGTCAATATGTAGACACGTGGAACGCCTGCCGTTTTTGCCATGGGAGTGTGTTAGCATTTAGGTCAAGCTCAAAGCCTGGGCAGTTGGTTAATGCCCTGCTGTTGTTCAGGTTGTGAGCTGCCTCCTGCATATCTTAGAAACCCAGCTGACTCTCAGACACACACACACAGAGCCCTCTTCTTACCCAGGGTCAAGGGTCCTTCTCCCTTCCATGCGCACGCCCAAAAGGCTACAGAGCACGCAGTAAGGGGGTGGCTGTGAAAAGATGTTTCAGGGGCCCTTCTGGTGTGTATGTAAAATTAGTGAATAGGGTGAAAAGAAAGACCTAAAGCTGGGTAAGAGGAGGAGGGAGTCTGCTAGTTTTCTTAAACACCATATAGTTAGGCTTACCCTTCCCAGACATAACTGCTTTAGCACCATAACTATCACTGCAGCCACAGCAGGTGGCTACTCTGGAGGGCACTGGGGCAAATAGGGGATGTGTGTAGGTGTTAGGTAGGTCACTAGCACTGTGTTTACCCCTGAGGAACGGCATGTAATGTTGCAAAGAAGATGCCAGAAGATCTCCTTCTCGATATTTTTTACAGAATAAAAGTTTTCCTTTGTTAATTTTAGTTCTACAGTAATCCATACATGATCCACTGGGAGAGCCTGGATAGTGTATCAATTAATGCCAACTTATGAAAATCTAGACACAGACATTTTGTGTACCCTACATTATCTCAATCTTTGGGTTTATAATTGGTTAGTTCCCATTGAAACAAGACCCAAAATGAAAAATATATTCACTGGGGCCCAGATTCAATGAATTATATTACATATTTTGCCATTTTGGCAGCTCACATGCAGGAAACCCATAACCCATGTTGGCTCTTGATTCAACTATGCTTTAGGCTGTTGGCATCTAGACATTGTTTTGATTACATTTTTTTATAAAAAATGCCACAAGGACCAACACAGGAATCACAGCACAACAGACACACTGCAGGCCTTCATCATAGAGAAGGTGGGATCATTAGTTAAAAAGAATCTGAAGCTTGAGTCCCCTTGTCCAACCCTTTACAGACTAAATATGTCCAATGTTCAGGTGGCTATCATTAGCCTGGTTTTCACTTCAAAAATGTAACTGGAGTGGACCTGCTTGACTTATACTGCTGTATCCCCATATAGTATTGGTTCTTCTGTTTTAGAGTTCATCTCTTGCCCTGGGGACGTGAACATTCAAATTAAACAAAATGTTATTCGTATCCCTCGTCGAACATTTTGCGTTTGCTTTGGTAAATCCCACTTTTTCATGCTTTGAAAAAATTGCCCTATGTTGTCATTCCCTATTCCCTGTCTGTCCGTGGTAGTTACAGAGACGGTGATTATGAGGCTTTGCAAACAATTGGCTTGGTGCTGATAGATAACACGCTTAACACTTCTGCAGGCTGCTGCTGCTGCTGCAGTAGAGATGCACTGACTGTACAATCTGCTGGATTCAATGGGAGGCTGCCAAAAGCTGAGACCCTATTCTTCAGTTCTATGGACGGCTATGTTGAAGTCAAGGGGGGCAATAAAAGACTCTCTATGCAGTTGTGTTTGGTGTGGCCATTCTGCTTCATGAAATTTGTTTATGTATGTGTGTAAGGGCCAGCGAGGGGGGAGTGTAAGTTTACTTTGTTGCATTAGAATCGATAGGTAGCCAGAAATAGTTGTAGTATCTTTAGTTGGATGGAAAACACCCAGAAAACAAACTTCCACTTCCGTATGCCCACTGACATCTCCTCTGGGAGGTGTGGTCTGTTTTGTTTTGTCTGCACGGTTTATGCAAACTGTGTCTGCTTGGTCTTAGCCAGGGTTCACTTCAGGTCTGACACTAATCTGCTTTGGTATGAAGCTGTGATCTCATGTGATGATAGTGATAATCTTATATTCTAGTGCTCCCAGCCCTAAATTCACCACTTCTTGATTGCATGTGTGCTAACTCAGCTCAAGCTTTCACTTTAATTAAAACATAAAACATATTTTTCAGAAGATTCAAAGTATAGGTTTATACTGGGTGAACGGCAGGTATCAGGTATTTGAAGGTGACCATTAGTCTTGTGTCAGAGGACAAACACAGATGGTTCTCCTGTACATTATTATGTCAGACAGGGCTTTTGCATGGAAGAGGTATGGAAAAGTTGTGACCAAAGATGACTATGGGTGTTGGTGTGGTTGGGGGGGGGTCTGTGTGGGTGGGGGGGGTCTGTGTAACCTCCACCTCCTTGTCAATCGTGTGTGCCAATGAAGGGGGCAGAGCTTAGGGGGCCCACCAGGGGTAACCCAGGCCTGGATGGAAGCAGGGGGATGGGGGTAGCAAAGCTGAAACCGGCGAGCTGCTGCCTGTGAGTCTTGGCAGGGGTCCAGGGGAATGTTCAATGTGCCGAGGCTTGGTGGGGGCCCTCGTCCCTCCCTCTGCTGCATGTTGGCTAATTGGAGAGACGTGGGGAAAAGAAGAGGGCCATCACATGGAAGATGACAGAGAATATGCAGGACATCCGACCTACAGTGTTCCCTTTTTCCTGCTCCAAATGGACACTAGCCAGCCTTACCTATTATGTAAAAGGATTTAGGCCCTACAGCACTCCAACAGCCTTCAGTTATGGCTATAGAAATAGCAGTAGCATGCAGTGCTTTCCCCAATGCACAGTCCACGTGTTAGGCTCTTTAAGCTCAGGGCATTTGTTTGTCAGGAGAGTTTTATTGCCTTAATTAACTCGAGAGCTATCAATTAAGTACTTTCACTTTGTGTAATTTGATTGCTAGATTGCATTTTAAGGACTTATTTTGATTAAACAGAACTGCTTTACAACAAAACATTTCTTGTGATGCTTGATTTGTAAATCACAATTGTGGCATAGCTTATTTAGTTTTAATTAAAGCTAAGGTAGATTGTTTGTCATTGAACCTTTTTCATTATATTTCTTAAAATAGTCTTTACATCCCGATAGCAATCAAATATTTCAATTGCTATGACAAAAACATTTTCTTATATTGAAATTGCTCTTATTTGTTGTATTCTCAACATTTACATGACTTTGTCATCAGGAGAATAAAATCTGTAAGATATTACTGAAGATATTAAGAGTGAAGTTCAATAAAACAATACTAGCAAATATTTACTCAAGAAAGAAACATGTTCACTCCACTATCAGCTTTGGCTGATATTTCTACACCTACGCTGTTGTGCCCACCTCTCAATCATGGGGCTGGCACCAAGATCTCTCCCTGATTCTTCATGTTTTCATCTCTGTCCTTCTTACATCTGAGCAGGCTTATCTTCCGTCTCCCTGTTAGTCTATGTAATTGCTTACACTGTTGACAGCTGGGGAATTGTTGACTGACATTTTATATATGTAGGTGATAGAGCGAAGGCATGTCAAAGTAACCTTGAGGGGAGTATAGACCACCCGATTAGCTTGTGTGTCCTAGTTAGGCTGCATTGTGCATCGGTATGTGTCCTTTCATTTAATTTGATGGGGGCCGTGAACAGTTACCATTTTAAGAGCCTACCTATGTTCCCAACATCAGCTAAGAGATGTTATTTGATTGATCTTAAGAAGCAGTTTT